ATCTCTCTTCTTTTTTTTTGTTTAAACCGTATTTTGTCAAGATTTATAATTATACTTGTTTCTCTACTATGAGTATTTTGTAATGTTTTTTAATTTGTGCAAAATTCTTCTAGACCAAAATCAAGTTATTTTTTGTGGATTTCTAGTAATTTTTTATTTTTTATTTTTATTTATGATAAAAGGATACATTTTTAAGGCACAAGTTAAAAAATTCTTTATTTTATTTTCTTAAAAAAGAAAAAAAAAAAAAAGAAACCATACATGAAAATAAATTCATGTCCATTAGAAATCAAGCATGAAAATATAAAATAGGTTTTAGAATCAATTTAGCTTCAGTGTTGGACAAAGGCCATATAGTTATAATTAAAATCATTAGTAAAGCAATGCTAAAATTTTCATCTAATAATTAAATTTTAATCATTGAAGGACTAAATAACTATTTTAAATTTTCAAAAGAAAAAATATTTATAAATAATCTTTAAAAAAAAGTAGAAATAGACCTAATAGTTTTTAATCTACTAATGCTTAATTAAATAAACAACAAATACTGATTATCTAATTAAATAAATAACAGATATTAATTGTCTAATTAAATAAACAACAACTACTAATTATCTAATTAAATAAACAACAGATACTAATTATCTAATGTTTAAAAATCAAATAAATACACATAAGAATCTTAGCAGTTCAATAGTCATCTTGAATTTTATCCACTTCTATCATCAAACTTTCATGTTAATTTTTTGGCTCCATAGATAGTTCTTCAATCTGTTTTCTTGTGGATTTAGTGTTGATGTTCTTAATACTGTCATCTTCTTTCAAAATGAAACTAATATTGTCGTTCTCTTCTGTAGTAATTTCCTCCTACTCATCATTCCTAAGAGTGCTAATATTTTTCTTAACCATTTCTACTAGTGGTCCAACTGTAGTGATCAGAAAGTCTACTAAATCCCTGAAAAAAAAAAAGAAATATAATGTTAAGCTAAAATATAAGATGGTAGGTCAAATAGTTTAAACAAAGAAAAAAATCATTACATTAATTTGATTTCTTTGTTTGTTGGCAAATAATCAAACATTGGTGATGCCAACTTCTTCAATATTGGTGATACATCTTTGGCTCTTTCAGTTGGAGAAGGAGACCTTCTCCTTTTATGGTTAATAGTAGTAGAATTTTCTAATAGTTGATTCTTATTATTGTTGTTGCGCTCTAAACTCGTTTTTGTTACTTTTTCTACAGCACAATTCTGTTTTTGGTGTTCAAAATTATATAGGCTAAGAATAAATAGTAGTTATCATTTTCAAATTTGAAATAGAAGTTATTTCCATTATTGGCCTACTTCATGAAGTAGTTTTATTTTAACATGGGGTATTGGATGAAATTAGTGCTAATTCTAGAACCTTCAAAAACAATTTATAACAATTTAAGCTTTGTTTTATTTGTTTATTAATTAGTTCTCTGTTTAATCAAGCTTTTGTTGATCTCTTGAGCCTTTCAGTTCTAAAGATGAGTAATTTGGTGTAGGATAAGCTGCCATTTGGTTTTTCAACATATATTTTCAAAGATTGCATAGCAAAGATGATTTTTTTTTCTTATCTTCCTTCTATCCTTCTTGTTTTTTATCTATTAACAATTGTTTACAATACCATTATTAATCCAATTTAGTAGTCTCCATCTTTATTTTAATTTTTTTTATTTATGGTTTACGAAGTATCCCAAAAGAAATCTATAATGAACTTCTTAGTGATAAACCAACTATTTCCCTTCGTGGTGTTTATGGTAGTAAATGGGAAGTAGTTGTTTATACAATTGGTTTGGTAATGGATAGACTAAGTTTGTAATAGAGAATTATATTATGGATGGTGAAACTATTGTTTTTATAAATGTTGGAAATGATATCTTTCAATTTTATATTTTTAATGACAAAGGTTTAACTTTCTAACTATGGCTTTTTAATGGTGGCGCAAATTCAACCTTTGGGATTAAAAGGAAGAGATTTATTGACTGTAAGTTTTTTTTAGTAAATACTTATTTCAAAATTTAATAATTGATTCATTTAAATATTCTTTTGTATTTTAAATTTCTTAATCATCTTGATAGTTTATTAAGTCATATATGTTAGATTCTTCATCAAACTTTGGATGGAAAGATGTTATAAATCTTAAAGATGAGCATGAGGAGGAGGTGAATTGATTAAGACGGTTTATTCCTTATTTCTTTTTAAAAATATGTACCTAAGCTTCTATATAAATTTAAACCACTGGTTTTTTTCTTTTTTATGTGCTCTTCAATGTTATGTCATCATTAAACATAGCAATTGCTACCAGCTAATGTTACCAATTCCTTTGTTGATGTCAACTTATCTTCATTTATGCTGCTAAATAAGTCATAAACACTTGATTCTTGCTTCTCATTTTCCCTTTGATATACTTGAAGACTGAATGTATAATTCTCACATTAAAAAACAAATGTAAAATAAAAGTTTGTAATAAGTACATATGAACATGGCAAAGCATGCAAATTAGCCCCCCAACTTGTTGACTGGAGGAAAACCCATCTTAGTCCATGCATAAACTAACCTCTCAGCTCGCTTGTGGTGGCAAATTAACCCCTCTATTTAGCTTGACATCATCAATCCATTAAGTTTTAACGTTTCGCTCCTTCTTTCTTTGGACTTAGATTGTTTTTGCTTTGTTGGATGCTTTGTTGGACTCCTAGGGACTAAAGTTATAATTTACTTTTATGCCCCTTATTTTAAATAAAAAATAATAATTATATTATACAAATAAAATATAAATCTATTTTTATTTTACATATATAATAAAGTATTTGTACACATAAAAGATAAATACAACAATTAAAATGATTAAACTACAATTAAAATTAAATAAATCAAAGACAAAAGATACAAAACAAAAGAAAGTACAATTGGAGTTTTGGTTTTCAATGCAGGGGATGACTTGGCAAGTCGCAGTAACAATGCAGGCACACAGATAGCAACTGGCAAAATCGACGATAACACAGAAGGCACCAGGGGCAATGCAGCATCGATGGCAACGCAAAATCAGTGGCAATGATGAAGTTCTAGAGATGGAGATGTTATTATTGTATCTGTTGTCATCGGAGAAGAAGAACAACTAATTTTGAAATTCAAAGTTTAACCAATTGTTTTGATGCTGCAAAGGAGACGAAGAGGTTAGCAAACCTTTTAGTTTCTAATTTTGAAGATTTATATAAAAGCTAAGGATTTTAATCTTAATTGATTAAAAATTATTAATGGTTTCTAAAATCGTTTAAGATCGCATGATCTGACAATCTCATGATCTTGTGCGCGATCTTCAATTAAATTTTCAACACTCCCAATTTTTGTCCGATTTAAATCATTAAAGCCATTTAACAGTGTAAGATTGTGTGATTTTATGATTAAGCTTGTGATCTTAATAGCTTGTCTTATTCCTGTCAACAATTTGAGTTTGGTCACATATAATAGGGGATCTAGAGTTTTGTTTTGATTGAAGCCTTTTTATTGTCGTTTTCTTCCTCTTCTTCTTCTTGTCCAAAATTTGAATTGCGAAAACTACTTAGCAAAATAAATTAAATGGGGCTAGACCATTTCAACCATTTTATCTCGTCAGGAATTTTCTTTGATGAGTCCATGACAAAGAGTCCAACAAAGCATCCAACAAAGCATCCAACAAAGCAAAAACAATCCAGGTCAAACACAAAGGAGGGGCGATGAGTGGAGCGTTAAAACTTAACAGATTGATGATGTCAAGCTAAATAGAGGGGTTGATTTGCCACCACAGACGAGTTGAGGGGTTAGTTTGCATGTGAATTGAGATGATGGGCTAATTTGCCACTAGTTGATGACTTGAGGCGCTAATGTGCATGTTTTGCCTATGAACACAATATAGTACATACCTTTTTATCTTTTCCTCATAATCATTAGTAATAGATGCATTATAAAGCTCAGATGATTGATTGCTAATCTTTTTCTTATTATTTCCATGCAAATCATCCAACTATAACCCTTTTCCACTTTCATAATTGAATTTTGAACTACCACACTTGTTTTATAAAAAGTAATAAATTTATATTTAATGCAGTGTCATACCTTCTTCGCATAATCATTTCTAAATCTGCAAATTTAACTTGATCAACTCCTAAAACAATAGGAGGCACACTAGAACATATATACAAACTTTTAATTTCAAGTTAAATACTTATTATCAACTCAAATATTCTAAACATCAATGAAAGGAAAAAGTCAAAACAAACCTATGTTTCTCAATTAATTCTTCAACCTCTCTCAATATTTCTTCCCTCTGAAGAGAAGTGCTACTATCAACTTCCACATAATTTAAGCCATTACTTAAAATTGGTTTTATAGATGTTACAATTTAGGTAAAAAGATCATTCCCATAAACACCATTAAACAAAAACTTTTATTAAAATCTTTTTTCAAAAAAAAGAAAGAAAAAGGAAGATAACAATGTAAATGTAAGCTTCTTATTTAACAAAAGGCCTAGAGATGAAGATATCTACTCAAGATAATCTAATTGTAGTTTTTCTAATAATAGAGTAATTTCATCATTTTACGAGGTTCAGCTATCTTGCTTTGCTCTTTCCAACAAATAGGTTGTCTTTCAACTACAATTGGTTAAGCAAAAAGAAAAGGAGTAAAGGGTACATCAAACAAATTTT